CAGAGTATCCCTCTCACAGTGGGGGTCAAACACAGGCTCTCGTGGGCGTATTCTGCTCAGAGCGATGACGCACTGACGTCATCAGCAATACAAAACGTTTCATTCAGAACGCCAGCAGGACGGCCTGCAAACAGCATACAAGTGTGTGGGCAACTGAATGCTACCTCTTTCGTCTGAGCCGGTGGCTCTGCTCTCCTGAACTCTTTCACGTTAGTTAACTGCAGATGAAAAAGCTGATTTTTTTCTCAGCTCACGACTGCAAACGTGGAGAAGGTCGTTGATTATGTGGCTTTCCGATACTGCGTCCAGTGTGGCATTAGAGCGGTTTCGCTGAAACAGGGAAAGACACCAGTCCCCTGATCAACTGCGTCCCTGGAAACGTCGGAGGGAGCGAGCCCTCTTCCACTACTGCGTCTGATCCTGGGGCCTGTACCGGTCTGTTAACCCTGTCCGAGTCAGGGTGATCGGTGCCGGGGTACTTGCTCTCTCCGGTGTGGGATGACGTTGACTACCTGGATCCAATGACCGCGGATGTTTAGTGGTCGTTATAGGACCGCCTGTGGGAACAACGTTACTGCATAGCTGTAGAATACACATCTGCGTGGAATCTTGAGCAAAGATATTGTTGATGTTCACCTTCACCTCGCTACAAAACTGCCATGGTTTGTCGTAAACTGTCAACTAGTGCAGAACACGCACTGACTGTTGCGGTGTCTTTCTGCACGATGACCAATCGGACGGCCGAAGTCATTCCACTTCACGGGGCCGGATTCGGGACGGGGAATGTCTTCTTCCTGGACCACTTCACAGATTCGCCGTGAAGAACACCGATTGTTGCAAATGTTCGCGGGTGCCGCGCCTTCTCATTCTTGTGGAACCCTGGATAGGAGTCTAATTAATCTATTCCAAAACATTGCGATTGCCTAAATGACTGGGACATGTGGTTAGGACATAAAACATTATAGCAGTTTTTTCTCTTGAGATGTGCCAGGTTGAGAGATGGGTATTTACAATACCCATCAGGTTCTCCCAATGGCTTCCTAACATTTTTGCGACATCGCATTGTAGCTTTATTGTCATAACCGTCGTATGCGCATCTGCCGACATGAGATAGGATGCCATATTAAAGATTGCGGCCGGCGCCTTCAGCTTGTCGTTAAATATGCCTTCAGTGGTGAGGTGCCAGTACCAAAAACAAGGCGTCTTCACCAAAGACCCGGGGCGGCACAGTCCCTCTCGCAGGCGGTCTGTGGGTCGGCCAAGCGGTCGCTTAATCCTTCTATCTTTAGGAAAATGTGTGGGTTGTATGTTATGTGCGCCGGTGGTCACTTTGTAGACCACAATAGCGAAAAGGTGGCTCGACAGAACGTTGACTACGCCGTATAGTGCTGGTTGATGTCATCACTGACAAACTCAACTGAAAACTGAACGAGCCTGGCCGGTGCGGATATGATAATATTATGGAATCGTTACAAAGCGTCACAAACTAAAAAATCTACCGTTTAGCAGCTGTATTCATCTTGCTGAATCAAATGAGCGCACAGCCTACTTCACCGAAGTAGCATTGCCATTATCTGCCCGGTGTTCGATTTAGATGGCGCCTGAAATGTGGCGCTCAGTATCTTACAATTCGCGGGACTATATCAATGGTATTCCATTTAGATGGCGGCTGACATGTAGCATTCAGTGTCTTGCAATACGCGGGACTATATAAATGGTATTCCATATAGATGACGCCTGACCTGTAGCATTCAGTGTTTTGCAATGCACGGGACGGCTCGTTTCTATTCAGAGCGAGCGAGAATGGGGTTATTTCACCATCACGTCCCACGTGCCGCTGAATCACATACCGCTGAACACCGTGCCACACCAGAGTGTGCTGCTGTCGTCAGCAGCAGGAAAGCAGAAGGACAGCAGCAGGACGGCAAAAGGACGTCAGCCGTCCTGCTGCTGACGTCAGCAACAGGACAGCAGAAGGACGTCAGTCGTCCTGCTGCTGTCGTCAGCAGCAGGACAACAGGACGACGTCAGCCGCCCTGCTGCTGCAGCCCGGCTGCCAGTCCAACCGCAGCATCCGAACATCCGCACACCCAGCTGTTTATAGTTAGATGGCTTCCGTAGGGCAAGGCCTGCTGCCTTGAATAACCCGGATGACCGCAAAAATGTCCTACTTCTTGCTTAAAAATGATAAAAATATTAATTACATAAAAATATAAAATGTAGTTTTTACGTAAAATATATTATATAATGAAATATATAAGTTACAAAAACAACCAAGGAACATTCTCAGCTGTAATGCAAAACAGGACTATACGCCGATAATCCTGCAGACATCGTTTGAACTCCTGATTTACACTTTATGGTTCAGTACGTTCAATCTCGACACCATGTTTATCCAATTTGATACGACCGGAGATTGCTATGCTTCAGAGACGTGGGATTATTGGGTACAAATTCTACTTGGTTTGAAGAGCCCAAGCCGTGCAATGACGACTGGAAAGCTTGGCACATGGCTTTCTTCGATCCAACAGAATACATTACGTTGTTGAATCCATAAATATTCTCAATGTTGGCTGATAGCTCCTGGTATGCCGTTAAGAACGGCGGACCTAATTCAGCCCTGAATACAGGAAATTGGCTAGAACTTCTAGAGCTTCTAACCCATCGCAAACGTATCTATCGTCACTCAGTATCAAAAACGGACGGCCAACAGATACAGATATAAACCATTGTTTACTACACGTCTAGCTATCGACGAAGGTTAGATCCATTATGGTTATCATGGTCCACGAAGTGACTGAGCATGCGAATTGATTCAACATTGGCGTATTTGGTGAAGCAGAACGGTGCAAGTGACTACCAGGCCGTTCGCCAAAAGAGACCACAGCTAAGTCGAAGTTTGGTTTTGGAGCTGCGCCTTTGCAGGTGGTAGCACGCCGAATGACCAATACAACGCACAGGCTTCTACCCTTGCTACCCGAACCAATTGTCTTCGTGCGAATGCATTTATCGTGTGAGCCATAAGATGATGGATAAGAAAGACAACTTGCTTATCGTTAGCGATAAGCACAGTTGTTAACGCAGTGTCAACGATGATGTTACAATAATTATGATGATGATAAGTTGATAAGATAATGATATCATGATCAGCGTGGAGGCTTCTACCCTTGCCACCCGAACCAGGTGTCTACGTGCGATTGCTCTTATGGTTTTAATGACCTCCTCGCGATGTGAAACGGGTGCTCGTGATGAAATGACCAGCCTTTGGAAGTGTTTAAAATGTAGCGAAAGGGGGATTTCAGCGCCTCAAGTACCAATTTTGCTATTTACTTTATTTTTGTTCCGCTGAGAATTATTGTATTGTATTGTACTCCACGTGTAATATTTGGCATCTCACCTTATGCGCAATGACATTAGAAAATGACTCGGAACATCGCAGTCTCAAAAATATGGTTAAAAAAATTATCAGTTGAAGAGGCGTCTAGACGATGTTGCGCGTAATTTGATGAACTGTTGACATTCGGGCAAACTGTGCTATGGGATGAGCTTATATCGTTTTTTTTTCTCGCAAAAAGAAGGCGGCCACAATCCTGTAGTGGCATTTCCTAACAAGTCATCACCCATTTTTATATTTTTGGCTCTTTCCTTGGTGAAATCATAATGCGCGACTAGTTCAGGCGGTTTTCTCAAACATATCTGGCGCAGCATCCATGTTCGCAACGCTGAAGTAGAACGGCTGGGGCTTGAACCCGTCACCTCCCGCTGCAACCGAAATGCCTGCCAGTTCACGTGAACTGCCAGATCAGTTCAGGGCCTCAAACCTCAGCTGCAAACCAATGCTGGCCTCAACTGAGACTAAAAATGTTCAGCCAAGCTAACAGCATGACACTAAATCGGGGCGCGCCCCAAGACGGTCTGTACAAAAACACCGAGCCCGAGCCCAGCTTACTCCCGGCTGAGAAGCCCCAGTCTCATGCAGTCAAGTCCAGCTGGCGCCGTGCCAGAGTCCAGCTGGCGTCCTTCTCGAGCTCAGCCTTTGGCCTGCTCTGTTGCCCCGGTTTCTTACTGAACCCAGCACTGACACAGGTCAGTGCCCAGCTGGTATGTAGCGTCCACACCAGCCGAGACCAGGCAAGGTCCCTGACCTGAGGCTCAGCGCCTGCGCAGCTCACGCTAATATCCTGGTATTTGTCCAGCAAGTGCATGCAGAGAGCCCAGCTGTGGCCATGTCACGGCCTGTCAGAAGAGTGCTGCAAGAACCACCTGGGACCATGCTGGGCACCCTTTCACTGCCCACCATGCCCATTCCGCGAGTCGGGGGTGGAGAGGATCGTATTCAGTTAGGGGGTCTCCAGCACCGTCGTCCCTCCAACTTGTGGCTTAGTTCTTGCAAACTGACAGAGCACCCTAGCCTTAGACGCCAGGCTCATGTTAAATAGAGTAATCCACCCAAAATGCAAACAAGTTATGGAATATGTTTCGATTCTGTCGAAGACGGCATGAGCCATGAAGCCTCAAAAATCCGAGGAGGTACCAAGATCTTGTAATGCCCCGTGTTGATCGACCCAGAGCAGCACCACTCCCCTCCCGGAGCAGGTGCTACGAAGCTGCGCTTCTGATGAGTCAGCGTTGCCAGAGACATCGCCGATGACCGATATGGGGCGGGACCGACGGCTCCAGCGCGGGCGACGCCGCCGACGCGGCGCGGGTGTTGGTTCGCGCAGCGGCCGCCAGGCGACGGGCGGCCGCAGGTAGCTCGCGGCCCGCGGCGGCCGTCGGTGCCGTCGGTGCCAGCGGGCCACCTGGAGATCGATAGGCGGCCGGCGCCAGTCGCCGCTGGTCGCTCCGGACGGCATGAGTCGCCGCGTGCCCCGCTAGCCGGCGCCATGGCGCTCCCGCTGCTGGTCAGCCGGCGCCGGGGCCTCGGGCCGCTGGCCCTGCTCAGCGCGCTGCTGGTGCTGCTGGCGCTCCACAGCGTGCCGCGCCCGCTGCCGGCGGCGCTGCCCGGCCGCCGCCTGCTGGCAGATCCCACACCCTCGCAGGCGCCGCCCAAGAAGGACAACCTCTTCCCGGATGACCTCTTCACGCCCGACCAGCTGCGCAAGGGCGCCATCACACTGCACATGCTCGGCATGATCTACATGTTCGTGGCGCTGGCGATCGTGTGCGACGAGTTCTTCGTGCCGTCGCTGGACGTTATCACGGAGAAGCTGAACATTAGCAACGACGTGGCGGGGGCGACGTTCATGGCCGCCGGAGGATCAGCGCCGGAACTGTTCACCAGCATCATCGGCGTGTTCATAGCCAAGAACGACGTCGGGATCGGCACCATCGTCGGCTCGGCTGTGTTCAACATCCTGTTCGTCATCGCCATGTGCGTGATCTTCAGCCGGACTGTCCTGGAACTGACGTGGTGGCCTCTCTTCCGCGACGTCAGCTTTTACAGCGTGGCTTTGATTCTCCTCATGGTGTCCTTGGAAGACGCGGCCGTCCAGTGGTGGGAAGCGCTCATCCTGTTCGGCTGGTACTTGGTGTACTGCGTCTTTATGAAGTTCAACGCGGGTGTCGAGCGTTGGGTCAAGACGCACATCGTAGGCAAGCGGGTTAGTCGAGTGAGAAGCACTGACCATCTGGTCAGCAACGTGAGTAGTGGCTTGCTGTCGTTCTCCCGCTTTCTTGCAAGCTGAATTCAGTGACAGTTTGCCGAAGCATTACCGCTTAACTTGCATGTGGGCTAGCTCAGAGCTTGTTCGACCTCATATTTTTGGCAAATATCTGCACTTACGTCATCACACTTGGACCGCCATGGCTTGGGGACTTGAGTACTGTACTCAATTCAGCCCAAATGACACTGACAGCTCTTTTTCTTCGGCAGTAATGCTACTCTGCCTTTACAAGTCACCCACAGTGGATTACGCCACATTTATTTCCTGTGCTGGTTTCAACGTATTGGAACATGACGAGCCAGTGAAGAAATGCCCACATGACGTCTCAAACCGCTACCCTCTTCTTCATTTTGCGATGGCAAATTGCCTGACATGGGTGTATCACAGTACGTGCGGGTGTATTGCGTACTAACGAGGGCCGATCCAGCAACGGGAGCCTCGGAAAAAAGCTGCTAATGCTGTGTCTTAAGCCAGACCATTACCTGAAAACAGAGCATAGAGAGAAAAACTGGCTTTTCGCCGTATTGTGCATGCATACCCACACACAAACGCACATGCTGGTTTTCCCAGATCCACCAGCGCGATCAAGGTGTGACCAAAGTTTGACATTTTGTAATTATTTTGCAGTCAAAATGCCATTGGCAAAAGACACTCCATATCAGTCAATGGCAAGCCTATCTGTTTTGATCGCTCGACTGATGGTCACATCACTCTCAATTCTATTCACGGCGTCACTATTGAAGGCGCTGCCGCACTCGATCTGCAGATACGACGGCGTCAGCTTCCCACGAACAGCTAAAACCCGCTCACTGCTCATGGAACATTTCCACAAGGTCCTGCGCAGGGCATGATTGCAAGCATTTCGCAATCGAGTTCAAAGAAACATTCGTTGAGCCGGGTTTAATGTCCGTCAGCGGGGGCTACGTGTGCTCACACCGGAAAAAACATCACCAGTGAGGCAAACACAACGACCGCCGTGCTTTGCATGCTCTACCTCTCAAACGAAGAGGCCCGACACCGTCTGGTACATGTCGGGATCGTTACCGACGGCCGGCGCCGCCCACCGCCCGCGCCGGCCCGCGCTGCTGTGGTGTGCTCGTGTAGCTAGACGGTTTTGCCGGCGGGTTTTCCGTGTCGTGTTCGTCCCCTGTGGCCGATGCCGTGTTTGGTCCGTTGCCAGGAGACGAGGCTGTTCACGCCGGGACGGCAAAAGGCTCCCTTTCCTGCGGAAGTAAGCCAGCATCCGTTCATGCACCTCGTTCGCACTGCTTCATGTACAGAGGCCAATTTCGGAGCGCGCCGGGGTCATGACTCTGGTTCGTGTTCGGTATTGGAAAAGTCATTCTTGCACTGTCTGTGAGCAAGAGGCAACACAGGTGAAACACGTCCTTACTGACTTCCCTTGCGACCCACCACTCGTTTTGCTTCGGGAACATTGCTGCAGAATGACATACGCAGTGTATGGATGTAGCATCACTTATGCTGGCTCATTTCAATCGCGCACGGTTCAAGCATGGCAAGGGCAGTGCATGAGGCATGCTTATGTAGTGTGTGAACCCATGTAGTCACTTAAAAGCTTGTCGTTTCTGAGCATGAACAAGTTCGTTAAATCCATAAAATTGGCTTAACAGAGATGAAGCTGCGCTCAAAACTTACAGTTGATGTCTAAAATCCCCGTGCTTGAATGCCACTGTAAAGTATTGCAGGATAAATTATAAAGGTTTGTGTTACCGGCTTATCAACAACTTTGCACCTTCGTTAGACTGTTGACATTAAAATGTCGGCAGCATTACAATTGAACGTTGTGCATAGTATTTGGTTTAATTGGCTGGAGGCACGGGAAATATATTTTTTGGTTACATGGATAGAAAGTTGTGACACTTCTTGATTCGTACTCGTTTTGCATCACATTTATAAATGTGTCCTGTTTTTGTGTAACTTTTCCGTAGGGTTTTGGTGTAACATGACCCGTATAAGATGCCACTGCCTTAAACACGCCAGTACGACAATTGTGTACAACGCCGCTCACGCCATGTGCCATACAATGCTTTAAGGCAACAGAAAGGTACGAGAGCGGCCATATTTCTTTTCTCCACATTTCTTAGTGGTTAACAGCAGTGACAGCGCCACAGGTTTTGAATTGGAGGGCAATATTTTCTATAGGCTTCCTAGACCGATTAGGGCCTCCTCAAAAGGGGCCTTCCACGCGGCATCGTATTTACGGGAAAGGTCGCCGAAGACATGTGCACTCTATCAAGCTGTTGTATGTCTGATATCCAAACAAATAAATGTCGTCAGTTAACTAAGCCATAACTCTTCCAGTTATCTAGAAAAGGGTTTTCGCAACCAAAAAAGAAGGCCCCCTGTTCCAGAAAATCCATGTTCATCCACCATGTTCTGAAAAGGATAGGATATCGACTATGACGCATCGACTGGTAAAGGTTTTGTGCCGCTCGGTCCCATAGGCTCGGAGCGTAGGGTTGTCTGTGGTCGATTTGAGTGGTTTTGGGCATTTTTGTGACCTTTGACCCGACCCAAGGTCACCATATGGCGGAAAGGATAGGTTATCGACCAAGCGGCATGAATGGTGAAGGTTTGGTGTCGACCAGTGCCATAAACTTGGAGCGTAGGTTGTCAGCAGGTTTTGTCGGCCGTTTAGTCCCTCCCCGATTTATGCCATTTTTGCTCTTGTCCTGATTGATAATGGTTACCAGTCACATAGATCTACAAAGCAGGGGTTTACCCGGCTTCCTGTCCAGTTTTGGGCTCCAGTCAGCCTAAGTTTGTGAAAAAGTGTACTGATCTGGGAGACATCCCTATTTTGGGGGTGAGTTGCATAAGTCTTCACTTCTCCCCTCAACCTATTTTCAAAAATCAGATGGGTTGAGGGGAGCCAGTGCTTAAAATGCAATTTTTTCAAAGGGAAGAACGCTGGGTGCTCGTGACCGCTACAATAAATTAACAGCCTTTTCCGTGTATTGAAAAGACAGTCGGGATTACAGGTTACACGTTACAGGTTTTTCATGTCAATTTTTATAACTCAGTCGGATCATCTCACCGACTTTCCCTGGACCGTCAATGCCTTTCGTCGCTGCGGACAGGATGCTGAATCGCGGCATCGCCAAGGAAGTCAACAAGGCCCCAACAATAATCCTGGGTAAATATTCATGAAACTGCAATGCGAATCCCGCTTGAAAAGTCGCAGTGCATTGAAGTCACCGCCTGCCTTATATCAGTTGCATCGCAACGATTGAAACATGCTCTTGGGGCCAGATGAATCGCCATATCTAGATCTTTTTCAGTACTTTCTTCTATCTAGTGTGGTAACTGAGCATCGACTGGTACAGGCAGCAAATTAGCCCACCGACTGGCCCATAGGAAATACACTGGTCTTGTTCCGATTTGCCACTGAGTCGACCGACCAACTAAAAAACATAGGATGTTTTTGTTTCCAGGTTGGGATGAAATCTGAAAAAGTGCCATGTTCTCGTAGGGTACGGCGAAGGGTCATTACGGAAAAGGTTGCTGATGTTGTGTGCCGAAATGTGCTACCATGAATGCCCGTGTTATATCGGACAGTGTGCACTGTAATGTTTTGTCGCAGCCGGCACTAACATTTTCAGTCCAGAACATTTTGGCACAAAATGTCGCGCAAATAAAAAAACATGAATACATTTTTATCGCCAAGCCTATCCACCAAGTTTGTTTGTTTTAACATCCCCGACCACGATTTCTACCTGAAAAACCGAAACCGAGTGAGCAGTGGTGGCAAAACATTCATTTCTAAAAGGAGTAAAATTTTGTGATGTCGCAATTACGACGAATTATGAAATAGCGCTAGCGTGAGGAGAAGGTGCTTGACCATTCTGGCTGTTGTTTTGAGGTCAGGTCATCTTATGTCAAAACAGTTTAAATTTGGGTCGTTGGAACCACCTTGGGCTTTTTGGAGTTCCTACGATTTACGGCTGGCGACGCGTATCCTGCAGTTTTGGAAGACATTTCCAACGCCGTTAGAAATGTCTTCCAAAGAGCTGTTTGGCTCATACAAGGGCAAAAATAACACTCTCTCGCTCGATCCGTTGTCCATGGTTCAACTAACGCCGAAAGCATCTTAAAGGAAATGTTCGACATTCGAAAATACCGAAGTAAGCATCAAATATGATAAAATAATCTCACTTCTATTGACATAATTTTAAGTGGAAAACACTGCTCTAGACAGTACAATGTCTCTCTTTATTAAATATGTCCCTCAATGCGTCATTGGTTGACTTCGTCATCGTACCTCGTACAGCTTTGATCGTGAGCCAACTCACGGACATCGCATCTGAAAACCATGTCCACGAACGCCAGACATGAATGACCTGATAGCTCTATTTTTCTTGGCCTTGCTTGCCACATGGCTAATGAAATGCCAGGATTTGAATAACGTGATTATGACGTCATGTATGCCTCTATGACCATGAAATAGCCTCCCAAACTAGTCTGAACATCTTCGTGGCTATACACCCTGGAACACTTCTATTAAAGAGAGTGTTCTACGTTTGTATGAGGTTTTGAACTTAAATAACCACCTTGAAAATCATTTCGTGCTGTTCACAGCCATACCCTTCTGAAAACCTATAACCGTCTAGTTTCTGAGCTAAAGGCCGGCGAGGATGCATATAATTTTTGGTGCAGACTATTTCAAGGTTGCTCAGGCTCCATGACGCCGTAAAAATGTCATTCAAATCTTGTCATTCCATTGGCCATGCGGCGTTCAATACAAAGCGAAATATAATTATCGAGTCGTTCATGACTGGGGTCCTTGAACATGACTTCCAAGTATAACTGCTGTCAGTTGACTTTCAATCAATATTGTGCAAGCCATGCGAAAGTCTGGTACGGATTAAGTGCTGTGCTATATCATGCAAGGGGTTATACATTGTTCCTCAATATTACGGAAATAAGATACGCTTTCAAATAACGTAACAATTGCG